GATTTGTTCCAACCCATTGTCAGGTCCTGTTGATAGCACCAGGTTGGCAGCTACTACCTGATTTCTGCTTCTGCAGTACCTTCAGGAGTGCCCACCTCCTCTTTGGCCATCTCTGTGGAGGCAGCCATGATCTGATGTGGTACACCCAGCTATCCAGAAGCTTAACCTTCAGGCATGGAGGTTAAACAGTCTTTTGCACATTGTCAGGGTTTAATTTCTAAGGTGGCCATTTATCTATCTCAGACTTTGCTTAGTCCCACAATGGAAATAGCAATGGTGTATTGAGAGGAGGTTGAACCCACGTTGATCGTAAGTTCCAACCATACCTCTTTTTTTTAACCTGGCTCTTTGGCAAGAGTTTTGCATCTTCCACAGTTGCCCTATATAAGGCAGCTTTATCAACTACCATTCAATACTCGAAACAAAAATTCTTTGAGTCCCCAGTACTTTCTAGCTTCTTTAAGTTGTTTTGGGTCCTTTGTCCCAAATGACCATTCCAGTTACCTAACTGGTATATTAAAGTGGCATTACATGCCATGTATCACCTTTCCCTGAAGATTTATCTTCATTGCTGCTGACCTACAGATGTTGCTGGTCGGAGTGGTTTGTGCTGATTGTGCACAGGATGCTTTATCATTCTAACTACATCCTCAGACCAGTTCTTCTTCTCTAACATACTGTCAGCAAGAGAAGGGGATAAATCTTTTTCACCGAATCATCAGATCACTATTTCTCACTTCTATGAATGATCAGATTTGATTGTTTGTTATGTCCAATGTGAGTATTGAAGGTTTTGTTGCTCACATTAATGCCTTTAGAGATGCTAGACAATGGCTTTTTATTAATTGGAATCAATCGGTTCCCCAGGATTTACCACCGGTTACATTGACGAGATGGGTACAAAATTGATTCATATTGCTTATTCTGGGCTCTCTTTGAAGGGGAGAAGACTTCTGTGAGTCATGTCTAATAAGATTCATCACATTTCTATGTCCTTAGTGGCCTAGTTGAATTGCCCGCTGGACGACATTGTGTGGGCTGGTAGGTGAGCCTCCCCCAGTACCTTTATCTAACATTATTTGGATAATTTGGCAGAATCTTCATTTAAAGGTTTTCGACTACTCCCTGAAGCTATCTTAACCACTTCCACTAGATTATACAGAGGGGTGAGTATTTTCAATGCTACACTTGTATCTTCTTTACCTTTCAGGGTCCCTTATCACTAGGGTATCAGGTGCCAATCTTCTACTGACACACCCATGATCTATGCAGATGCTTTCTGTATGGATAATGCCCCCACTGGCCCCTCCACCTTATCAATGTGGGATACTAGCTTTAGTGTCAGAGGAGGTAAGTATGTTTTGGAAATTAACAGTTTCTTAAATAAAAAACGTATTTCCAATAATACTTACCTCTGCTGACAGTCTCCTGCCCTTCTTCCCCACTAACAGTCGGTGTTGGATTGAGTCAGTTTAGAAAAAGTGATAACACTATCAGAATGAGGTGCTTATATACAGTACCAGGATAGAGGGCACATTGACACAGGTGGAGAGTGTCACGAGACAAATATTGCCAAGGGCAATTAAGTGAGGTATAAAATACTGGAGCAAGCGAGAAAAAATCAGATGGGCAGAGGAAGCAACCCTGGCAGTCTAGTATAGCTGTAATGTGAGAGGAGGTAATTATTATTGGAAATACACTTTCAATTTCGAAAATGCTAACTTCTGTGTATTGCACTACACATTTATAAATAAATGTGTAAGGTTATCAAATAATTAACTGTTACCTTGCCATGAAACAGCTTGATAAGTTGGATTTGATTTATCACATAAACTTTTGTCTAATACATGCTAACTCTCTCAGCACCATTACTAGTGTAGGCCAATGGAACTGCACTTTCATTGCTTAGGAAATACCAATAGATAGTTTAAAGTCTCAAAACTAGAATTTCTGTAATGTTGTGAAGATTTAGCTTGCAACACGGAAGATACATCTAATCTATAATAAAGCATTTAAAAAGTATTTCTTTTTTGTTGTTGTTGTTTCAGTTCATGTTAAGGCAAAGTTAAATGACTGTGCATGTTTTTTGTTTACATGTTGTTCTGGAAATGGAAATTGATCTCAAAACCCCATCATTGTGCTCAGAAAATATTGTTGTATACAGGTTGATTTTGTGGGAAATTGTTTCTTAACCCCAACAATATGTGTAGCAGATATTTTTTAGAGGCTGATTGTGTGGGAAAAAACTATGTTAAATGCAAAAACATGTTTAAAGATTAATTAGGTAGATTTACTCCTGAATTAATGTGAACCTTTTCTTGTTGAGTTTTTCTTGCTCCATTAACAATCTCACAACTTTTAGTTTTGAATGTCCTTGATTCATTGCATTACCTTATCCCAAGTTCTCCACCCTTCAAATGACTTATTGCAAGTGCCAGGGAAATATATAAACTTTGCTTTCCCACCATAAAACAGATTTTTCTTGTTGACAGTCATACCATAAACTTCATTCCTTTGTTTGATCTGCTTTGTTCTAATTCAGTGTTGACTATGATCTTATCATTTTGATTAATGCAGAGATCCTATGGCTATGTTGTCGACTCTTTATGGTCTGTGTATTAGGGCTGTCAAGGTCAAATCAGCTCTTGGTGTCCCAGTCAGGTTTTCTACTTGTGTGGATGCTCAATCTATGGACATCCACCTTTTTCTTACTTTGGTGGACAAGCCCATTTTTTTCCCCAGGCCTATTTTGCCCCCCCCCCCTTGTTTTAGACTGAAGTGAGGATTTGTCTGCTACTCCTGTTCCTGAACAAATTCTGCTAGTCTTATTTCACCTTTTTATTAGGTATTAAACAATGTTAAGTAGTGAACCAGTTTCTGTTTTGTTGAGAGTGCTAGTATTATGTTACATGACTCAGTTCTAGAACTTTTTTATCTTCTGTGCCTTCTCCTGATATTTGTGTTGTTACTGTTGCTTTCAGAAATCAGCAAAATGTTGATGTTTATTGCATTCCTTAAAATATTTCATGCAGGTGACCTTTTAGTGGGAGAAGGTCATTTTCTACACCACATCTTTCATTGTATAAAATCCTAGATGCCCAGACCATTGTATGGGGGGGGGGAGATGAACACAATTCAGGAGATTAATCAGACATTTCATGTGAATAAACTTCTGTCTTATCATCTGCAACAGGTTATAGCAGTACCTTTCAATTCCATGGAAGCCATCAGTCTCATTTGTCCTCATTGTTCCTTCAACTGTTCCAAGCTTTTCATCTACAACATTCACAAGTTCTTAGTTATTGTCTAAAATGTTTTACATTTCCAAACACGTTTTTTTACTTTCGTTTGCATTTGGTAGAAGGCGTTTGAATATCCAATAACTCAATGAATCACATGCCTTATTTTCTTGGAAGGTTCTAAAATTGTATCCAGATAGAGCATTCCTACCTATGGTATTGGCTGTGAAGGAAAGTAGCCACTGTTTTTCATCTATTGTGTTACCTATCTTTATTGACATGGATTCTCATTCACTTTTCACATCTTGTCAGGGCTCTTTGCTGTTATATTGCATGCAAATCATTCAGACATTTTCAGAAAAGCTTGTTTATACCTTATGAAAAATCACAGTCCTCAAATCGTTTTCCAACAATATTAACAAATTTGTTGTAGCAGTTGATCTGTTTTTGTTTACCAGGATGTACCCAGTCACCTTAATAGTAAATTTTGAGTTTCACCTCACCAAATTCAACATTTTCCAATGTATATGACATCCTGGTCACAGTTCCCATTGGAGGACATTCTGCAGGCTTATATATGGAAATATCTGAACACAGTTTGGAACATTTATTTGTGTCACTTCACTGTTTCTTCATTTTTTGGATTCTGTTTGCTTCCTTTGGTGACACTCTAATCCAGGTGGAAGCCTATAGTACCATACTTGCTGCTTTAGGACAAGAAAGTATTCCTTCTTTATGAAATGAGTTTTGTGTAAATATAGTTATAACATTAATCTTTAGTTTAAATTATCTAGTGAAAATAATTTAAAGTCTAGTCCACATAAATGATGAAAAAATTAGTTTATTTTTTCCTTAAAATTTTTACAAACTGTTTTTACAGTACACAGTTGTAGACCATATTTACAAATAACCATAATTGTGTTACATTCATGTAAAGAATAAACTTGCAGCACTTTAGGGTTGAAACAAAAGATACTAACTGATTCTCTACAATCTTGAAACTACTTTACAATCTTCTCTCAAGTGTACTAGAAAACCTGGTGTCAAATCTTCTAGAATATTCTAGGCTTATATGATCTTAATGTCATTATTATGACCTGTAGCTCCCCCCTTAGTAATAAACAAATTACAATATTAAAAATTTAGCTTACAATAATATATTCATCTAATAATGGTGCTTTGTAAATAGTATATAGTAAATGGATTATTAAAAGTTTGTTCCACTAGTAATGCTTTAGAATCAGTTATGCTTTCTTTTAATGAGAAGGACTATTATGGTAAGGAGTATATTGTTAAAAATATTTGAGAATGGAAGCCACATAAGATTCTTTTTACCATTACAATATTGGCAAGGAAAAACTATTTTGCATCTTCCACATGTTATATCTTTTCCAAAATATTTTTAATAATTTCCAGTTTTGAAATTAATATACTTTTGGTTTATTTATTATAATATTAGAATAAAATCCTGAACTTTTAAAATCCTAATCTACTATGTTGGTGGGATTTACTATATTACTTTTCTACATAACAGTGTTAAGTACAAATTTTTCTGATGTGAAATACAATAATAAGAAATATTATATCACATGTTTTAGCTACATATTTTTATAATATAAATGGCATACTATTTTCAGTCGTATATCGGATACTTGAAACACAGGAATCAATTTTTCAGTTGTATGTTCTTTAAGTAGCAATTTATTTTTTCTATAATTTTGATTATCTTAAAGTAACTTATTATTTTTTCAAACATTTAAGGTATGTGGAGTTAACTGATGAAGAACGTAACAAAATTGAGGGATCTCAGAAAGTGGCCAAAAAGCTGGAACGGCTTCGTAACAGAGGAACAAGTAATGACTCTGGTTCCATCCACTCAGGGTCTGGATATGCTGGAGATGATTGCTCTGATGATGCAAGTGGAGAAGATAATTATGATGATGTTGAAGAAGGAGAAGAAAGAGATGATAGTGAGTGTAGTATTGGATATGATACATTTTTTGATTCCTTGAGTATGAACACTTCTCCCAGTCATTCCCTCCACAACTATCGTATTTACAGCCCTGATGTTCTTCTTACTAATGATTACATTGATGGGATAAGCATTAACTGGCCACCAGGAGGAGTGAACAATTGCAATTGTAACTGCTTACTTACAAACACTTTAAAACGTAAGGAAAAGAATCTTACAAATGTGCGGGATTCAGGCTCACAGACCCTCTCTACTGGCGACATTGTTATTACAAAAGTATTTTTTGAAGAAAAGTTGAAAGATAAATTTCAAGAGATTAAATAATAATAGTAAAGGCCTAATGAAAATATATTTTTAAGTACATAATTAATAAGGTCATATCCCAAGAATTGTATCTTTTTTATTTTTTTTTAGTTTTTTAAGCATGTTAAACAAGGAAACTAAACTTTAGTTGTAAATATAATTTCCTTCATCTTTGTTATATTTTAAGAAGTAGATTTTAATTTCTTTTTCACACCAATAAGAATTTTTAACTTGTCTATTCTAGCAGTATATCTATTTTGGAAAGAAAGGAGGAATAGACAGAATTCAAAGAGCTGTAGATTATTTTAATTATACATAAGGCTACTAAATTATTATTATTTTTCTTTATTAAAGCTTGCTGTGTTTAGCTTTCGTGATAGGATAAATAAGGTACCTTAATGACATACATTTATGTCATGTGGGAGAGATCTTGTATGTAATGTCAGTACAGAAACTTATATTTGGATCTTATTGAAGATAACGTATATTTATCAGAGAGGATTATGACTAGTAACATTTCTGGTATGTGTGGTGGCAATTGAGAAAAGGCTTTCCTCAATTTACATGCTGGAAAACACTACTGGAAGATTCGATGATGAGGAACCCACTTTGAGACTAATAATGGTTGGAGACGGCTTGAATGGGTAATGAAGAAAAACTTTAATATAAGTTTAACATAACAGCAAATGTACAACGTTTCAACAAGGTTTTGTCACCATCACAAATAAAGATTGATGATGACAAAACCTTGTCAAAAAAGGTGTACATTTGCTGTTGTGTTAAACTTGTATTAAAGTTTTTCATCATTACCCATTCAAGCCGTCTCCAACCATTACTACTGGAAGATGTCACACACTATGCACTTTTATGCCTTTTAGCATTATAAAGTATTTGTTCTCTGTTTTTTATTGTAATGTGTGTTTGTTTTTACTAGCGTGGTGTAAATAAAACAAGGTAACACATGATAATATAACATTTAATAAATATTAGTTGACGTTGAAAGTAACAAATATTTCATATTTTGTTTTTGTCCCAATTGTTTGAAAAAGGTCTTATAAATTCTGTGCATGACATATTTTTTGTTTCCAGGATGCAAAAATAAATATTCTAGAGCAAAGAGTAAGAACAGTATATTAAATAATGTAGAGTGGTGTATGAATTTGTGTGGCACAAGGGAGGGCTTAGGGTTATATATATGTCATTCAAAGTAGCATTTTTATGCTTGGTGAATTAACTCACAAGCGAGTTTAATTTCTAAACAAGGAGTTGAGTAAGATCATGTGTTGAACAAAAAGATAAAAGTGACTATTAATAATGAGTGAGAACACTTACATAGAGACAGTGTCTGGTTTGCCTCCTACTTGTTGCTGAAGCTATCTGTTTTAAACTAGTGAGGTAAGCTTGACATGAAGTTATATTTGTTATTTACAAACACTGTGTGGTTCATTGTAATCCATTTCACCTCTCATAAATATTGCAACATATAGTGATTACATTGTCAATGTCTGATGTTTTACTTTTGTACTGTGATTGTCACTAATGATGAATTTAAACTGTAGAATAGTGATTTTCAGACCACTATGCAGGTTTTTTTTACATTTATTTGTTAAATAATTTGAAATTGTTTTGAAACAGAGAAATACACTATAATGTCATGTTGGAATACATTTGTGCTTCCAATTCAGTAATTTTTATACTTGTATCTGTGAATTAAGTAGATATATGCAGAATAAGGTATTTGTATGTGATATTTGGTACATGTTTTAGAATGTAATTATCACAGGTTGCAATTCTATGTAAATCTAAATACACAAAGTAGTAGAATTAAGAAACATGTTCCAGCTACAATGCTTCATTTCAGTTTTACAGCCACGTAAATGTCTCATTGTTGTAGTGAATACACATAATTTATATTAAGTAAAACAATTTCTATTATATGAGTTAAACTTCTTTAAGTTCTGTTTCTATGGGTTAAAACATATATCTGTAATGCACACATACCATTTTGTTGTTAGGTACAATTTCCATTCGCATCATTTAAACAGTCTCTCTGTTATTATACCACCTTTCCAATTATAAATGCAAGACAGTCTGTGGTGTTTTTTTTTTTAAGACTTTACAAAAGTCATAACATTAATAATAAAAGAAGTGCATTATTTTGACTGATCAATAGACTTATGTTTATATGCAGTTCCTGATCCTTGTGTACCTATGCAAGGATTTTCAATTGTTCTTTATTTATAGGTTCATACACTTATTCAGCTGTGTTTCTTAATGCTTCAAAAATGACCTAGACTTTAAACAAAAAAATGACATTAGAACTTCCAAAATTGTTCATAGTAGAATGGTGATAATCTAACCTGGACATTTCCACAAGTTACATGAGGAGCATGTTATTTCTAATATATTTACATTTAAAAAGTAGCATTATTAGTATTCTCAATAGACTTATCAAGTAATTAGGTTCTTTGGCACACATTTGTACTGCCACTCAAATGACAGTATTTGGACAAATTATCTTTAAGGTCCAACTCTATGAACTTTCTAAATCAAAGAATACTATCACAGATGATAATGCAAGTGCATTCATTCCATTATTAAATGCATGATAATACTACAAGCTGGTGTTTAAAAATCCTTTTAGTGGATGAAAATAACCATTCAATTTCTGTAGAAAGTAACAGAACAGATACAGAGTGTAAATACCATATAATACAATTATCTAAAGGTGTTGACAGATCTTGGTAATTGTTAATGATATAAAAAGAAAAAGGTGCAAGAATAATAGCTACAAGTTAATAGTTACAAGTAGATATATTTTATCATAATGATCTCTAAAGAGAAAGGAATATGAATGGTTGAATCTAAAACCTGATTTGCACTCAATTATGAAGAGTTTGAGATTTCTCGATGAAAGTCTGAAAGAGGAATCTTGTATGATTCTGGGTCTCTTTCATAATATTCTGGAAGGGGATTTTCTTTTCAATCATCAGTTGTCACTGTCTTATTGGAAACTTTTCCAAGGCATCTGGGCATAGTTCCTACTCATGTGAAAGGATAAATTGATTAGAATGTACCAGATCTGGGATCAGATGTTGTTCTGTAATTCATTGGTGCTTGATGGCAGGTTTCTACCCAAAGTGGTGGTCATTTCATTGGTCCATTGACATAACCCTGGAAGGGGCAGTGCCATTATATCCTTCCAGAGTATGTGCTGTACCTGTAAAAACACATATTTCTTAGCACACGTATGGTAGGTTTGCAAGTGAATGCATTGTAATGGGTATTAGATATGTATAGCTAAATGTAGCAAAGGGCCAGTTAGTTATATCTATCATTCTTAGCACACGTATGGTAGGTTTGCAAGTGAATGCATTGTAATGGGTATTAGATATGTATAGCTAAATGTAGCAAAGGGCCAGTTAGTTATATCTATCATCCGTTCTGCTACGACACATTTTCCATCTTCCACTTTCTCAATTATGGCTTTATCATCTAGTAGAGCTGTGCAAGAGATGGCTGTGACTATAACTATTGCAGAGGCTAATCTTAACTATTTGGCTTAATCATATTAGCTGCTATACTTATACACTCTCCATGATGTAAGAAGTCATCGATGTATTCCATTGCCCTTCCTGGGGTGCTTCGTTCACATGATCCCACTATGCAGGATAAACTCCTTCCTCTATAACTCAATCAGAACAAAGTAGGTCACCATTGTTTGGTTGAAATAAGTTAACTGTTCATGTACAAGAACATGCAAATTTGATGTCTGCATCATTTTAAAGCATTTAGGAACAGTGAATGAGTGTAATGAACCTATAAGTAGAAAACAATTTAAAATGCTCTCAGGGGCAAACAGTGAACAGGGACTGCACATAAAGGTAAGGCTGTTGATCAGTAGACTTAAGCCAGGATTGAATGGATAACACAGTGCACCTCATTTATTATTAAATTGAATTGTTAGTGATGTCATAATCATTAATACTATTGTGTTTTTTTCATACATCATTTTATCATGAACAGCTATTTAATCATAAGAGAATGTTTCATAATCTATAAATCATTGAAATACATGTCTAGCATTATAAAGTGTAATGAATGTTACATCCATCTAGATAGATATTAATGGAGGAACGTGTAATTACTTTATATGCTGGTTCTGTGTTCCTATTCAACCACATCTGGTTAAATTGCCATAACATATGCTCATTGATAATGATATACATAGTTAAGTAGGTTTGATGAGGTGTTCAGAAATTTGTTCGATAACTATTAAAATAAAGATTTACTCAAAAGTCCCTTTTTCTGTTAGAATATAAATGTGTAGGGTTATTTGTGCACTTTTTTTTTGTACATTTAAAAGAATACTTGGTTGGTTGTCTTATGTTTTTGACAAATTTAACTGCTCTATCACGTACCATCCCTTGCATTAGTTTGCTGATAGGTGATATAGTAGATCATGATATCAAAAAAGGATGATTTAGTATTTCAGATAGGTAGTAAGTAGCTTCAATGATTAACTTAGTACACTCTACGTTGAAATATAATTGAACTTTCTGCTCAAATTTGACAATAAGTTAGAGGAATATGTTACATTGAGGGTGTCTGGGTTTTCTTTCTGTTAAGTCTAAAGCAATTCATCTTGGCAAGGATTACAAGTCATACTTTATATATTTGTTGTGTCCCTGTCTTGTACATGCAACACTTAGACTCATTTGATGTTTCTGTTTATATGCGTAGTTGTCAACTGCCTTAACAGATGCCTTGACTTTTTTACAATTGTTTTAGTAAGTACTGACAAAGTTATATCACAGATAGGTTTGTTGATGGTCATAAAAATGTATGGTGAAAAATAACATCCAAGTTTTCTTTGAAATATTTGGGTTTCATCATTGAATAATACCTTTTTTTTTTCAATTTCTTCTGTAAGATAGATATTTTGTTATAGCTTTTCTAACTTTTTTTCACTTGACAGTCCTTATGTGAAAATTATAAAACAAACAAAAGTTACACATGCACCTAATGAACTCATAGTGTGGCTTTAGTTACCTCTCCTGTTTACTCTTTTGGTAAAAACTGGTAACATACAAGTACAAGAAATATTGTTTCTTAACAGTGATAAGAATATTATTATACCACAGTGCTCAAACTGTTTGATACAAGTAAAGAAAAAATTCAGGATAGCAAAAATTTAAAAGAAATCCTTTACTACCTTGACTGAGATAACTGTCAGGATCTTAGGCATATCCTATATTTTAGGATTAATAAAGACACTCCCACACATTGTATTTATCAAACTGATGTAGAAATCTACAATTTATGGTGATAGATATGAGATCTTTAGTCTTAACATTGGTGACCTTTTCTGAATGATTGTTGTGTGTGTGGTTGCTATGGTTTGAAGCTATATGAATGTGGCTATCTATAGATTAAGTAGGCCAGAAATGTGTAACTTAGCAGGATAAGACCGTATTTATTACATGCAACACAGAATGTAACCATTTAAAACTTTATGGCCCCTGAGTTAAGTCTTTGGTATAACACTTACTTGTATGTTAACCTTAATATTGTGTAATTGCGTGTGTCTGTTATTTTCAAGTAACATAAAATTCAGGTACAGATAAAGTTTATATTTCCATAACTGCTTCTCCATTGAACCTGGTGATTTAGAAGGCTTTTCTGTTGTGTTGAGCATAAACTTTCATTAACTTCAAAAATATGTAGTGCTCTAGTTTTAATATCAGTAGATTCACAGTGTTTCAATTCTTGGGAATTTAAAATATTTTTAGAATTGTAAAAGAAATTAGGTTTTGTATCAGTGCAACTATCTTTTCCAGAATGTTCTGATAGAAACATTCTGAGAGAAGTGTGGGAATCCTTGCTTTGTACTAGTCTCTCACAATACTTGTTATTAACACAAATATTGCTAGAGGGGCTTTTTCTGCTTGTATACTTTATGATGTTACAATAAGAACTTTTTGAGGTTACTTTTTTCTTAGTTTGGTTGAGCTCGCTTGAACTGGTTGTGTATTATTTTAGGTTCTTGGTGTTATTAAATGATACCTGTGCTGAGGTTGTAATGAACATACTAATATTTACTTTTATATAGAATGAAGAATTATATTAGAAATTTTGTGTGCAAATTAATTATTGAACTAAAAAACATTGCTTTCTTAAATACATAATACATGGGTAAATTCCACTTTTTGATTATTTTTTGCAAGCTTTCAGCTACTGTACCATAGCTATCATCACAGCAGCTGAAAACTTGAAAAAACAACAAAAATGTAAGACTTACCTATTTATTATTTATTTATGAACACTAGCCATGTTAAGAGCCTTAAAGAATAAACATTACTTTCTCTTGGCATTACTAAGAGCAAATTAAGCTGCAGGTTTTTTAGTATATTAGTTAACACCCAGCAGATCATGTATATTTCCATTTTATTATTTTTGTAAGTATTATGCATCATTTTTAATGCATAATTACACCTTACTATTAAAAATTGATGTGAACTTGTTGAGATTTTTAAACTTAGTAGTGTTTTAACACCACATTTATATTAGAAACCAGAGAAACTGGTTGCTTAGGTTTTTATTTTCATAATTGTTGTGGGTACATAGGTTCTTCAAACTAGAGGCATTCTTAACAATAGCCATTCCCACCTAGGGAGTTAAAACTAACACTGGCCATTTTTTTTATTTTTATTTCAGTTACAGTTTTTTTGCATATTAAATCAACTTTGAACATCAGCTTATGAAAGAAAATATTAAAACCTGTTTTACAGTGTTTCTAAAACATTGGATTAAATACACAAATAAAACAGTGAAAATATTTTCTACATCTCCATTTCGTGTTTGAATTTACTGATGACATAAATTATGTTCTAGAATAATTTAATAGAAAATATGATTATTAAAGTATTAGCCTCTCAGCTTAACACCCTACAATTTTTCAAACTATTGTAGTGAAGAATTATTTCTTTAAATACTGTGTAACATTGAAAATATGTTGTCTCTTGATGGGACAGCATTAAGTTTATAGACTTATAATAATAAAACCTGGAGTTTAATTCCCCACAGCAGATAGCCCATTGTGGTTTTGCTCTAAAACAAACAAAAGTGTGTTTAATGTATTTATGCTAATTTATGTCTTACTTTGTAAAGCCAAGTAACTTATTTACTTCAAAGAACTGTTAGCTATTATAATGTAGTAGTAACTTTATATGTGTAGAAAATAAACATTTTGTCAGAAGGTAGAGAATATTGTACTGATAACTCTACTTTCTGTAAACATATTTATCCATCAAGGTTATCTGGTTTTGAATTATTGGCCTAGAAATACCTATATTTGTAAAAATATAACAAATAAGAATTTTCTGCATTTCCAATTGAATTGTATTCTTGATAAAGCCTTGTAGCCAAAGGCAGCAAAGTGTCTTATCACACACACACAACTTTTATTCTGTTACTGTTTGTAATACATGAAACTCAGTGGTTTGCTCGAGAAATTGCAATTTCCTTTTGATGAAATTTGTCTATGAGGTTAAAATAAGTGTAGATAGAGCTGTTTCTAAAGTAAAAAAATAAAATGTGTTAAGGTGAGTTCCATTTTGTATAGTGAATAACCGTTGGTATCGTTGCTAAGTATTTCTTTCTTGCTAATTACCTTAACATTTCAGCAAGCCATTATTTATATAGAAACACTAGTTTTGTGATACTTAGGTTTTCAAACTATTTATATATATAATTTTTGCATTTAAATTAATTTTCTTTTACTAGCTCTAGCTGTATCTAGTCCAATTGTTTCCTACAAGAAGAAAAATTAAGTTTTAACGTGGTTAATTAGTGAATAATTAACAGACATAAGAGCTATTTTGATTGTATTACTATTATACCAGCTTAGTTAGAACAGAATTTCATTCTTAATCTTTTCATAATACTTATTGGTTAAGTAAACTTGTAATTCAATTACAAAATATTTTAGGAAAAAAAAAAGAATAGGGGTAGATTTTGGAAATTTGTTACTTTTTATAAAATGTGGTAGTGGGAGCTGGGTGACATTGCAAGACTGTTTTATAAGTGTAATTCACTTTAATATTGAATACATGGTAACGGGTATTATATATGTTGTGTAACATAAGCTTCAATAGAATACAGTTTAGTTACTTTAGGATCATGTATATTTGACTAAGTAATTAGGTATGTTTGTTTGTGTGGTTTTATTAATTACTACTGTGTATTGGTAGTTTCTTGTTTTTTTTCTTAGGAAAGTATATATGTTAACTGTACAACTTTGGTATACCCATTGAGCTGCTTTATCAGTTGAGATAGGAGTGGAAAATGTAATGCATAGTTTAACAAAATAAAACATTTGATAACATACCACTATTTAATGTGTGTGTTTACTAATACTTTAAGTGTCAGATAAACTTCTATTTTTAATTGGTCAACAATTTTTCTTGGAATAAGACTTTCTTGGAGAATTAGAGAAACAAAGCCTTCTTTTATTGACCACTGAGTAAATTTAAATACTGAAGAAGTTTATTCCAAACTTAACTATATTTGGTAATGTCAAGAATTAGTTATAAAAATATCTCCTGTCAGGATTCACACTATATGTATTTCAAAAATGTTCTCTTTAACTACTTACACTGCTGAGCTTTAAACAATTTGCCAGTTGATCTGAGAAACTTTCTAAATACAGATGTTTTTAATACTTCTGTTCTGGTGAATTCTATGGAGGATATATTTAGCTTTATGTTTACAGTTGTAAATGTAAAACTAACTTCATGCTTATAAACTTTAAAACCTAATATGTTATTATGTGCATGAATTGTAAACAAATTCTTTTCTAAACTGAGTCTGTATTTTAGTCTCTTAAGAGGTCATAGTTAGGTATAACAATAATGAAAGTTCTACTGCATTGGAGTTGAACATAATACCATCATCTAAGTAAGTTGTGAGAAAATAACAGATGTTAGAAATTTAAAAGACTGCTTTTTGTATAAAGATTATTTCACAGTTTGAAGCAGAACTAGCTTACCACATTGTATAGTAAAACATGAGACGAAGGAAACAAGCTGAATGTTATTCATTTCATGGCCCATCAGCACTTGGTGGTAATGTGAAGTTCATACACTGCCCATTATTTACATGTACAGGATGCCTACAAATTTGAAATTCATGAGAATCTTTGAAGTGATAATTCAGTTGTATTAAATCGTAATTATAATATTTCTGTGTTATATAATTCATAAACTAGTAGAATGTTTCTTCTGATTAATCATGAAATTATCACTAAACACTGAGGTTAATGTTCATTAACTTTTTTTTTTGTTTGTAAGTATCATGGAACTGAGGAACACTGAATTAATCAAATGTAATCAATTAATGAGTCCATCGATTAGCAAATGCCACTTATTTGTCCAGCTCTAGTTGTTGGCTTATCAAATGGTTTGCCTTCAGATGTGGTAGATGTTTCAACACTGAAGGACTTTAACAGCAGATTTGAGGATTTAGCTCAGAATTAATAGAAGATATTTGGAGTAAAGGGGTTAGAATTAAAAAAATAATTCAAGTAGTAAATGTCTGCTACCTTATTCCAACTCTGGTAGCAAGTTTGTATTTGTGTGTGTGTGTGGCCAATTTACTTACTCCCTCTTGCCATATGGAACTGTGTCTGAATGCCTTGCTCTACCTGCAGGGTCTCAAGACAACAACCACCTGTTGACCATGTCTGACATCACAGTTCCAGAGATTCACAGACGACAATTTAATCCTAATTAATTTATCCAGTTTCCATGCTCAATCTACCTCTTCAATCTATTTTAATTATCTTCATAATAGAGAATTCATATTTACAATATGCTTTAAATAGAGGATATATTTCAACCATGTGAATTAGCTTCAGAATATGAATGAAGTCATCTCTGTATTGTTTATCTTATCCCACAATGCATTTGTATGCATGTTTTTTGAGTTCAGACCACTGTATATCGACAAGTGATGAGTTCACTGGGGGATGTGTACGAGACAGAAGTGCTTGGAAGTGTCTCAAGAGGGATCATTTCTTCCACACAGTATCATCTGGTTAATTTTTGAGATTAAATATGGCTGAAGCTTTGAAAATGTCCAACTAAGTAACATCACAAAATCTTCTGAAAATCACTTCTAAAAATTTTTCTGATAATGTCATATTTGTGAGCATCAAAAGCATGGAGAGCAATATTGTTTTTCAGTGTATACCATTTATACATATATGCTTGAACATTGATATTAAACTTAGCCAAGTATGGACCATCAGCTGTCTGATATTGAAGTTAACATGACCAGGATATTTTTTACTTTTGTCAAAAAACTTGAAACAGCGATATCATTTCTTTGAATTAGGAGAGTTGGGAAACAAGGTTTAGTAGGGCCAACATAAAAAGTATATACAACACAAATATGTAATCTAGAAGTTTCTTGTGAATCCCTTTTGCTTCAGCTTGATCCTCTGCTTTATTATGTTTGTCTGATGCTTAATTTTCTAAGTGGATAACAATGAGAAGCCAGTTCTTTATACCATCTTGGATAATGCTTTCTGCTTGTTCTAAACTCATTGTGTCCTATTAGCTCACTCATGTTTCAAAACACGATTGTTCATAATTTCAGATAGTTTATCAAGTTCCCTTAGATATCTGGGGGAGAATTTGTAGAAACAAAGTACAGATATAAGGACTTCTACTACTGTATTCATGTATTTTTCACACATCCTTTAAGGCCAGATTCAATCTGTGTGCAATACAGTATTTAGGGACAAGTGATGGCATATCTTCATTGAGAATAGTTGTTACTCAATTTCTTACACTTAGCATAACTGAAGTCCTATCGCTAACTACCAAAACCTACTAACACTGATTTTTACTAAAGCCTTCAAATGTACTGTATAATGCAGACCCTATGCCTTGGCACTTTTACCAGTTTTAGAAACATCAGCTTTGGATATCCCTCATTCTGATACAGACATACATGATTTATTTCCCTGAGTCACTTTCATTTCATAGCATCATGGTATATGTCTGCTCTCTGTTGAATGAGAGCTCTGCACTGTATAGCATTCTGGTAAGTGTAACAAAACAGTAAACTGTTCCAACTTTGTAAATCTATTACTCTTGAGGAATTAGTAAATGGTTCTTCACAAAATGCCACATAATTTTCTTTTCTATGGCCATTTACATTTTTTGCAACCCCTTAAGCATGTCTTTCTTTGTAGTGGTGGCAGGTTTGTGTGATGCTGATTTGAAATGTTTCAAGATTCCTTTTTCATATAGCCTTTTCCAACTGCATAAAATAAAGTCTCAACTTTTGCACATCTTAACACCAAACTAATTTAACAGTGTCACTATTGTCAAGACATCTGAATTCTAAATAATGGCAAACTCCAAGTGATTGCAGGTCTGATCTCTATTTCAAAACTCACACATTTAGCATTTGATGCAAGTGCTGTTTTGAATCAGAAATATCATGGTCGGACCTAGATTCATTAAAGAACTAGTATGTGAACTGCAATCATAAAAATCACAGCATTATAGAAATTAAAACCTATTTTTATTCAAAAAATATGTAACATAAACCTGCTGATTTAAATATAATTTATTATGCTTATAAAAAAAACAATTTTTGGACTTAACATGGTTAGTCCATGAAGTTACGTTAATATTAAAATGTTTCTTTTCATTTGAAAGGATTGAAATATTTTCCTTTCTGTCACTTCTTAGTGCTAGTGTTTCATTGAACAACTGCTTCACAAACTATTTAATATCCATTATTCAACAGAATACTCATAAGCACAAGTGTGTAAAACTACGTTCACTTTAACTCTAAGTGGAAATTGTATATAAACATGTGCACACTCAGGTGATCAATATATTATCATGCAGGTGTTTGTCTCCTACTTTCTTATTAAATATGTTTTGCTGAGCAGAATAGATAACAGTAGCCTGTGCACAGTTAGTCAGTTTTGTATAATGTTTGTGAATTAATATTCCAAGATTTTCAGCAGTTCCATTTTTGTTAAACCTTAAACTTTTATTTCTCAAGTGGATATTCATTTTTTCAAAAGAAATATCACACCTGAAGTCATTTGGAGTTCACTCTGTAGAAAATTCTAGGTATCAAATGTTTGCTAACGTGTACTTTGAACCTTACTAGTAGAGTGGGATTATAATTATTTTAGCTTTTTTAAGAAGGTGTACTTGATGAGATGTAGAACATTTTTTTTAAATCTTTAAATCAATTTAGCCATGTAAGAGTGGCCTAAGAGTTAATGAGAACTTAAAGGTAATGCAGAAATATTAATGTTTGCTTTTTATGTACACAGATTGAACTTTTTATACAGGGTAGGAAAACAAACTTAAAAAAAAACAAAACAAGTTTAATTTTTCTGTAAATGCCAAGCTCAAGTTCCCATACACTGACACTAATTATAACAGCTCAAATTACAGAGTACTGAGCTGATCCCATCATAAACTGAAAAAACTGCTTTTAACAGTTCTGAAATATGACAGAATAACTCTTACAGAATATTCTTACATTTAACTTATACTGTCACAGAGAGTGAGAAAAAAAAAAAGTCTTGGGACATATTTCATTATTTTGCAGTTTTGAATGACACTTGCAATGGCTTTCCTGCATAGAGAAAACCATTCAAAGATTCAATTGCTAAAACAGCTTCTTCATAATTTAGCATTGTTACAAATCCATAGCCTTTACTAATACCTGAAGCTCCTTCTCTAACAACATTCACTTTCTGAACATTGCCATAAGTTGAGAACAACTGCCACAAGGACTTCTCATCAGTCTCTGTGCCAATATTATATACAAAAAGAATATGTCCTGTTTCACCAACGGTTGTTGAAGCCATTCCATACATCATAGGATTATAGCGGTATCGGTTTTGGAATCCACCTTGTCTTATAGGTCCTCCACCATATGCACCACGAAATGGAGTAGTAAAGGATTGTATCATTGTTTTAGGGGTTATTGTTTGCAATTTTTTAGCATTATCTTCAGCAAATTTTATGCTTAAAGGTTCACTACTGCCAGGAAAAATCTGGCCATTAAGATGCTGGCTTGCCTCTTCTGCTTGTTCCCGAAGATCATACAAAACAAAAGCAACACCTTTATTTTTGTTTCCAATGTTATCCTTCAATATTCTGCACTGGATGATTTGTCCATATTTACTAAAAACCTGGTGTACATCATCCTCAGTGGCAGACATTGGAATTCCTCGAACATAAAGATTGGCATTCTTAATTTCTTCACCACTGGGCCGAGCATATGCTACTTTAATTCTTTTGTTCTGCATCTGAAAACCATTTAATGTTTGTATTGCCCTGGCAGCATCT